CATCTTTTGTCTATCAAACTCCCACCTTGCCTTCTACGTGTAAAAGGCTTGGCTTTCAACAAAGGCTACCGTCCCTATTTGCACCCTTTAATTATATCTTTTTTTATTATTAATACCTTTCAAATATTTTCCTTTTGATTAACACCTTCAACTTTTCAAAATCTGTAAAAAATCTAATATTTTAACGGGTTGTCACATCATCGTTAATAATCATTAAAAAATACAATATGTGATAACGAAATAATGATATAAGTGTTATGTGGCATTATTTATCTCATGTGAATGATTTTTTTATGATGTGACATGATGATATGACATAATTTAATGTGAAAACCTCCCAACCAAAAAATAAAAAGAAAAACCTAGATCTGGGGTGAGGAACCCAGATCAAGTTCCTTCGCTCTGGGTTCCATCACGATCTTTTTTTTTTTTTTTTTTCGATTGGGAGGTTTTCACGTAAAATTATGTCATGTCAGTATGTCACATCATAAAAAAATCATTTACATTAGATAAATAATGTTACGTAATGCCCACATCATTATTTTGTTATCATGTATTGTATTTTTTAACGATTATTAATGATAACGTGATAACCTGTTAAAATATTAAATTTTTTACAAATTTTAAAAATAAAAAGTGTTAATTGAAAAAAAAATATTTGAAAAGTGTCGATAACGAAAAAGACATAATTGGAGGATGCAGATAAAGGCTATGGTCTTCGACAAATGCTAATTAGTCAGCCCACAAGACAAAGATGAGCTTAATCTTGTACATAGCATGTCGTGACTCGTGAGGAATAAGAAATGCTCAAAAACAATTTTATTTAAAGAAAACCCACGACGCGAAGGATGTGGTTATGTTGCCCACACGAATATTAGAGTTACATATTTTATTTATTTTGATTAATTTATAATTTTATTATAAATTTGATATGAAACTTTATATAAAATTAATTAAAGATATTATAATTAATGAGTTTTAATTTATACATTTAAAATATAAATTAGACAAACTTATATTTTAAATTATCAATAACAATAATTATCAATTACAAATATTGAATATAACTTTTAGTTGCATATAAATCACTAATTCAAATACCTAATTTTTTTTTTTTTGAACGTATTTTGTAAGGGCAGGTTTTGAACCCTGCCGGGGGAGGGGGAATGCACCGTGGCTATGCCACTAGGCCTCAAGGCTAAGTGCAATTCAAACACCTAATTTGCTTTAAATTTGATGGGCTATTCTCACTACATATCATTGGACGGTATATTTGTGTGCAACAATAATTATGCTCGTAACTTAAGCAGAATACTAATTTAAATTTACTATCTCTTATTTTTATTAAAAAAATTATTATTAAATTAATTAAGTCATTATTTTTTCTAGATTATTGTCTTCGGATTCTTTATGTTAGAAGCATCGTTTTTGTATTTAAATATATGGAATTTGAAAATTTACCAGGTATTCAGAGGCTCTTTCAGTGTCAGAATTCAGAAAATGTTTTGTTTTGCCTTGGCTCAAATGGCATTCTTGGCCCTACCACCTCGTGAATGTATTTCGACTTTGAAATTGTGCCCCCCGCATTAAATTAGTCCAGTCAAATGCGTTCAATTCAAATAGTTGATGAAGAATTTATGTAGTACCATTACCATTTATACTAGAGTGTCAATTCATCAAAAACGAATTTTGAAGTCGATGCCTTGCGTTTCAATTCACCAAAAAA